TAGATTAAACACAGCCTTGGAGAGGTGTGGCTTTTCACCTCCATGTGGAATTTCTCACAACATGGCCAGGCACGGTGGAAACTGGAGGAAAAAGTGTGCAGAGGCAGGAGAAAGTTGCACCAGCTATGCAGCAGGACAACATCCATCCTGCTGGATTAATCATCATTTACTTCTCACAGTACCTGCATGCTGCAAGACAGAAAACCAACATGTATTCCTTAAAACGCTCATATGGGTGGAGGAGGAGTCCAGTCATCACAGGGCAGCACCGGAGCGTCTAAGGCTGTGCACAAACGGCTGCGGTCCAACAGAGGAAATAACAGAAGCAAAAATAATGATTTGTTTAAAAAAAGGCTCAAATTCTTAATGTGCCACATTCTGTTTTGTTTAGAATCAGGAAACAAGAGAGATTGTTCTGGGACCAACTTAATGATTCAATCCTTTCTTTGTTTAGAGGGAGAAAAATCTTGAATGTTAAGAATTGCTTCTATTTATTCATTCATTTATTTGTTCTCCTGCAGCACTGCAGAGCAGTGAGGATAGAAAGCCAAGGTGCAGTCCTTGGTGGTTTCATTCCATGAATTTGCATAAACAGTTCACGAAGATTTCAAAGGATTTATATGGAGGTCAATGAAACTTTCTTTTTAGAGTGAAATGAGAAAGTTTAGGTCTTAAAACTGAACTATAACACTGATAGAGGAGGTGGAAAAACTACTGTGTAAGCCAAAAGAAGTTCAGCAGGTAGTGCTTGTTTCCATAAAGCGTGAAACTATCTCTTTGGTACAGCTGACTACTAAAAGAAGAATATCTGCAAGGCTTGCTCAGAGGTAACAACTTGAGTGCCATCTGCTTAAAAATATCCTGATCAGTGTAAAAACCCAACATGAAATAAATGGAAGTGTAGCGTAGTAAAATATGTCCACTCTTGTTTTAGGCTCATTTACCTAAAGTCTTTATAAAGAGACTGAGCAAACACAGACAGAGCAATATCATTGTCTGCTGCAGAGGAGGCTGCACTTTCATGACTGTAGCTGCACTTTTAGGACCCTTGTTTGTCACCACCTGCCAAATTAGATGCTTGCTGAAGTTGATTTGTGGTTTAAGGTTTAATCCACCTAAAGATACTACTTGCAATTTTAAAAGTTATTTTACCCAAATAACATTGTCTTTATGGTTTTAAAGGCTCATTTTACCCAAAAATATCACGTTCTGTGCAAGTGTTTATAGATTTAAAGGTTCATTCCATCCAAATAGTTCATTGTAACTGACAATTTATGGATTTAAAGGGTGATTTCACCAAAAGCTGTACTTTTTATTTTGTTTTTTTTCCAGTGTCTGCAGGCAAGAAACGCTCTCACCCCTTTGAAGTCAACAAGAGGTCGCCATGTTTCTGGCATCCCCAAAAAACAGTTAATGGAAACACAGCTGAAGTCCTGAAAATGCAGCTTCCTCTGCTGCAGACACACACACTGCTATTTAAAAAAAATACACACAAAGAGGATTTCAGCTGGCAGAAAGGCATATATTACCTTCTTTTAGTTGTGTAAATAAATGGTGCAATGATTTTTTTTCTCCCCATTTATTGCAGTTACTACTGCTGCTGGTGGGCTGACACTACTACAGCTGCTCTCACCACACACACAAAAAAAGGAGCGGTAGAAGGAGGTGAAGACAAAATATGATGTAAGCAGCAATCAGTCACAGCCAGAAAGAACCTTTCATGACCTCACAACGGAAAAAAAAGGGCAAAAATGTTCCTATACATGAACTTTTACCTTTAGGGTACGACGGGTCTGACCTCCAGCTCACTTAGAAATGCAGAGCATCTAATTTGAAGCGTCTGCATTGTGATTATTGAGCAGTGAAGGTGGGAAAGACAGCGAAGGACGACTGGAGAGAGAAACCGTGGGCAGTATATCTGTCAGATTTATGTTTCCTCATCCATTATGTGCGCTGTAGTAGGTGTTTGACCTGTGCAGGAGGGCAGAGCATGGCCCCTCTCAGTCTAGCTGACGAAAGCTCACCAGAGACAGACATAAGGTTCCTTAAATGGCTCTTAAAATATCAGAAGAACGGCTGTGACTGAAAGAGCAGGAAGATTTTGACCTTTCAGTGAGAGCTGATGCTCACATGTGGTGAGCTTGTGGTACATTTAATGCAACAAATGAATGACTTCAGTTGTAAACATGTTCCTTGGGCCTATCAGAGACTTTTTAGTCACTAGGAAAGTTCATGATCCTAATAACCTGGACTTTGAGTAGTTTTCTAAAAGTATAACTGACAGTAACATTATTGATATGAAAAACTTAGTGGATAATGATCAGGGTTATGTAGAGTTTTCCCTGATGTCTCATTATTGTGGCTGTGCTGCACTCTAGTGGTCAGAAAATGTCAGTGACTTTGTTGGCTGGGCTTTCTCTCACAAAAAAGACCTTCTGCTGTTTCTCTACTGTGGACATGCAGAAAGTCATGCTGCCATGTCACATGTCCTGTGTTGTTGTACAGATACAGATAGTTCTCTCAGATACCCTGACGGTCACACAATGTGGAAAATTACCCTTTGACTAGGTTCATTAAAGTGTAGTCTATAAGAAAAACTTTCAGATTCATTACAGATTTGCTTTCCTGTTTGCTTTAGAGCCAAATTAAAAAAATATGATTTGGCTACTAATGATGAGTAATTCAATCAAGTTCGCTGTGTGAATGTACATTTTTTCTGAGCCTAGAAGCTCCTTTCTCTCTGATAAGTGTTAGACAAGATCGTCATCACTTCAAGTTCTTACATGATTACAATCAGCTTCTTATAGCGATTTTAAGGTGGAACAGAGCATTAGGCAAAACCTGTTTTTCATGCATTTGTCAGTTTTCAGATTTGAGAATGCTTTGCTTGTCTTCTTTTAGACTGCTGTCAAGGAAACATCCAAAATAAATGTAATACATGCATTTAAGGTGTTTATTTTGCTACACTGTGCCTAATTGTTTCTGTAGAATAAATTATAATACTTCTAAGGGTGGCTGTGGCTCAGGTGGTAGAGCAGGTTGTCCTCCAATCACAAGGTTGGTGGTTCGATCCCCCGGCCCCTCTACAGTTGAAGTGTCCTTGGGCAAGACACCGAACCCGAAGTTGCTCCCAATGGCAGGCAGCACCTTGCATGGCAGCTCTGTCGCCATTGGTGTGTGAATGGATGCATGAGAAAATATTGTAAAGCGCTTTGGATAAAAGCACTGTAGATCATTTACTATATATCTTTAAAGGCCATTTTCTCACAGGTCTGAGCCAGAAATCTCTACCTGACCAGTTTTTACCCGATTTATAGAACATTTCATTTTATTTGCTTGTTTTTATCTGTTGACAGTATTTTCACATTCTCTGACATAAAAAAAAATGTTATAGAAATTAATGTGAGTTGTGACATTTTTTTAAGTATGAAACACCTCATTTGCATATTTTACTATAACATTTCAGAAAACTTGCAATACCAAAAAAAACAATGTCTTATTGTAAGTCAACTACTGTGTAAGCTTAACCTTGATATTTGCTTTGAATATAAAGTATTCAATAATAGCACATAAGCAGCCCTTAAGATAAATACTGCAATACCATTTTTGTCTGTTGTCCTTTGTGTTTTTTTGATAAACTGCATTTTAATGGTTATTTTTATTGAACTGTCAGAGATAAGTCATTTGTCATTTTCTGATTATTGCTGCAGCCTAAAAACGGGGGGGAAAAATGTAATCTACAGAGCATCATTCAAAGTTTTATGGCAATTCAACTGAAAATATGAGTGTATTAACTTTTTAAAAACTAATTTGTGCTTATGTCTCACATATGCTCATAGTTAAGATCAGAAGTAGACCAGCAGATGTTTTATTAGTAAAGACACACCCAGAGATGGAAGAAGTACAGTATTCGCTATCAAGACTCCATGTCACACAGAGCTGCATTTAAAGGTTACCTTAAGTCAGGGGTGTCCAATCCTGGTCCTCGAGTGCCACAATCCTGCATGTTTTAGATGTTTCCCTCTTCCAACACACCTGATTCAAATGATCAGCTCATCATAAAGCTCTGCAGAAGCCTAATAACGATCCTGAGCATTTGAATCAGGTGTGTTGGAAGAGGGAAACATCTAAAACATGCAGGATTGTGGCACTCGAGGACCAGGATTGGACACCCCTGCTTTAAGTAAAAGTAGATACGCATTACCTATAAAATGCAGCAGAAGAAAAACAATGCTCATTAGATAAAAACATTCATTTTGCAGTGTTTTAAATTACATTGTCAAGTGGATTCAACTACCTAGCAGTACTCAGGTTGTCCCCACTTGCGTGATGCACCTCATCAGACTTTGGCTGGATTTCACTCAAACACACTTTTGGAATTCTTTTAGTTCCTTTATTTCCATGTGCTCAAATTGTATAGCAGATGAAAAACCTTTAAACAAAACCCTATTCAATGCACATAATCAACCTGCAACAATTAAATAAAGTGTACACATCACATGCCACAATATTTTACAAATTAAACATTTGATTATAACCAATACATGTATCTCTTTCCGGCTGCATCTGTGAGGTCAAAACAGTCCTGAGACTTCAAAAAGGTCGTGGAAGTTTTCTCCCAGAGCAGTGTCAAGCTGCTTTCTGCTGCACTGAAGGCGTGTCTGCATTTACAGGAATCCTTTCGTGAAGCAAGTTTTTATTAGTTATTGAGCCACTTATTTTTAAAGGAAATACCTGAAGCCAGTTCAGTTTTAATGCAAGTTGAAATAACCTCCCTGGAATAGCACATAGTCCAAACCTTTCACAAAAGCAACACTTAGTTCATTTTAGTTCATTTTCAACTAATAGCTGAATTTTAAATCAACTGAGTTATACAAATCATTTATTTTTATTTGTTCAGTTGTAGTAATAGCAGTATAGGCCAGCTTGTTTTTTAATCGGTCTGCTCCTTTAATGACACGGCTTTGCGACAGTCGTCACGACACTACTTGCCTGCTTTACGACTGTTTTGGAGGCTGATTCAAAATGGAGTAGGTCTCGGAGATACTCTTTAAACCGACTCAGGTTCACCTACTGTGTTCTCGTCTTCTGCTCGGTTTTTCACCTTAACAGGTTGTTCCTCGTTGTGAGATTATTACGTCCTGCAAGATGTCAGAAGAAAAGAAGTCCGGCTCTTTGGGTTTCTTTTCCAGCTACGACGATTTGAGCGACAGCAGCAACAGCAGCGACTCGGACGAGGAGGGAGAAAGTCGAAAGAAGAAAGCGGGGGCAGAAGCTTCGGGCGGCGGGGCTCAGTCCTCCTCACAGGGGACCAAGCGAGGGCCCGGCGGGGCTCCGTTACCCAGACCTGACGAGCTGTTCAACTCCGTGTCCAAGCCCGCCTTCCTCTACAACCCTCTGAACAAGCAGATCGACTGGGACAGTCTGTCGGTCAAAGCGCCCGAAGAGGTGAAAGCCAAAGATCCACATCACAGCTGCTCACTTAACAACAACACATACAAGTGTCACGGACTGTTGGGGATGTTTTAGAGAGAGTCGTGTGAACACAATGATAATTACACTGTAGATTATATACAGCCACCGTTATGACTTTATTAACACTGTAGGATATTGTTGTGCTCAGGAAAACAGGTGACATAAGAAATGCCTAAAATTAGAAAGCAATAAGATATAAGTCTAATACATTACCGAAATAAAAAATAAGTAGCTAAAAAAAAAAAGGGCTAGATTAGAGAAGTAATGCTGGCAATCATACAGAGGTTATCTGTAATATCACATGTGATAATGAAATAATAAAATAAATATTGCACCTGGAAAATGAAATGAAAGTTAAAATGAAATATTGCATGGAAGTGAAATAGTGCACATGTAATCAATATGTTGCACGTGAGCATGAATTATCATTATCATCAATGATAGTAGCCACATAATGTAATCACATCCAATAATGGAAGCTGTTTGAAATGCTTGTAAATCACCACTTAGTGAACTTTTATTATATTGATCAGTTTTAAACAGCTATATAGTTCCACCATGTGAATCCTGTCCAATAATAATAATAATAATAATCATCATCATCATCATCATAATAACAATAATAACTTTCAGAGCTTTAGTTCTTTTAAATCAGAACCACCAGTGATTGTACAACAATGTGATGCAATTATATTTCATGTTTGCTCAGAGACGCACACACCTACAAAAATACAATTGATTATGGTTATTTGATTATCTTGATTTCACTTATTTTGGGGACAATTCACAGTTTCTGGTTACCCGTGAGTTTGTGTTTTTGAGGTTGCGGGAGGAAAAGGGAGCTCTCGGGGAAAACCCACACAAACATGGGGAGAACACAAAACTCCACACAGAAGCAGCAGACAGACAGACAGACAGACAGACAGACAGACAGACAGGGTGAGGAGGTGGAGGTATCTCTGTGAGGCTGTGGTGCTGATCACTGATCCTCTGAGCTAAGGGATAGAAGAGTGAGAGAAAGAGGGGTGAAAGTGAAGTTGGTCTGCATTAAATCTAGATTTGCTAAGTGATTACTCATCGTATCATCACAACACTATTTGACATCTTGTATTATGGAGACTCGTTGTGAACAATGTATAGTACGAGTGTTATCATTTCTGTTTTACTATGTAGGGACAAAAGGAGTTGCCTATGCTTTTCTGTGGACAACTTCGAATGTACAATGGATCATCTCTTCCTCATTCCTTTTCTCTTAAACATTTTTCTTGTTACTTGAAGCCTGCCAGAGAATTTAAGCCATGGAAGACGAATGCTGTGCCGCCTCCTGAGAGCTATGCTGCAGAGCCAGAGAAGAAGAAGGGTCCTCCTCCAGGGATGGACATGGCAATAAAGTGGTCCAATGTATACGAGGACAACGGAGAAGACGCACCGCAGCCTTACACTGGCAATGCCCGGTTCTTACCCGCAGAGGAGCAGCCCTCTGACTCAGGTGGGTCCTACAGGACAAACACACTCCTTTCTATTTACTTAAATGTACAAAATAATGCTGATTACTGTTATAGCTTCATTGTCCACACTGTTACCACACCAGTTCACTGACAGATTACACAACAGGAGCTGGTGATTAAATGCTGCAGCATTTTTGTATGCATTTAAACATACAGAGATAAAAAAAAAAAATGCCAACTAAAGCCACAAAAAATGATCAGTTTACTTGCATTTGCGATAAACAAGAAGACTGAGTAAGCATTAAACCAGAGCAATTATATGGATGTGAAACTTCAGCTGTGCCACTTCATCATGTCAGTAGGAAATGGATGTGAGGAGCAATGCATTTACTAAACATGCAAAAACAACCAGAAAACATTTGCTCCGCTCCCCACTTTGCTCTTGAGTGAAACTAGAGCAATTTTGTTTCATTTGAATAGTGCACTGTTGGGTAATTTAAAAACCATTATTTTCCACTCCCCCTCCACCTCCACCTTCCCAACCCAACCAATCTCCTCTGTGGCGATCAGATGAGGAATCTGAGCAGTCTCTGTCTGCCAAGAAACGGCGAGTGGAGACCTTCCAGCAGAAGGAGAAGAGGAAGAGGGACATGGGACAAGCGACCTCTGACAAGAACTTTGTAGAAGAAGAGAAAAGGATCCTCAGGCAAAAGATCGAATGAGACCCAAACTGTCAGCAGCCACGATTCGGTTCATAATTTAAGCGTTGTACATCAGCAGAGAACATAGCTGGATGCCACAAACATACAGGGTTGTTTTATCAATATGTTGACATACTGTGATTTGCAATAGTATAGTATTTGTTCTGTTTTCAAATGGATGTATCCACACATGAAAGAAAATTTTACTTCAATGTTGTGTTTAACAAAGCTTTATGTCACTGAGGAAACGGGCAAAACATTATTCGACAGTCGAGCTAACAGTCCTGATTCTGGTGTATTGCTGTAAAATATTTTGGGGATCTTAGGACGAGAGTTGGTGTTTTCATAGTTTTACTTACGAGTTCAGTTCCAAAGATACATTGATGATAAATATTGCTAGACACAGCTTTACAGCATATTCAGAGCACTGGCCTTTTTCAGTCAAGCAATCTGATCTAAGACTCATTTAACCTGTATATCTGACTTATTCTAATCCTTACGACTTTGCACAGAAGATTGTGAATAAATTCATAATAAGTAGGAATGAAGACCAAAACTACAGAAGTATTTGACTTAAAATTAGGGTGTAATCTAGCACTCAAATAATGTATTTTTTCAGGGCTGATACTAATTATTAGCAATCACGGAGACCGATAGTTAATGTTTATAACCAATATACATCTGCTGTTAAATAAAAAATAGAAAAACAATCTTAAACAAAAGCTTTTATTTATGTTTTACACAAGTTTAGCTTAATCAGTGTATTGTTCAAGGTTGTTACCTATCTAACCAGTCAGACAGAGTTGTGGGCAGGACATCAAGACCAGAGATGCAGCTGCATCAGAACCAAAGTAACACATTTTAAAATTTATTTATTTTATTAGTAAATCAGTTAAAACACTAAAGAGACTGATTTTCATAAAAAAAACAGTGAATTTGATTCCAATCGTCTGCAAAGTCAAGATAATCAGTCGATCCCTAGTTTAATCTGCTGTGAACAGAAGGTCTGGTGAGTTCGCTTTGGCTCCTGTTTGTTTGAATATAAGTAACTAAAATAACAGTGTTGTCTGGCTGTGGTGGTGTATTTGGTCTGTGCTTGTGGTTTTTGTTGTATATTACTAAACACCTATCCAGCACTGAAATATCGACTGTGTGCGTACCTTGTGTTAACTCAGTGACTTTCCTTTTAAAACTAGATTAAGTATATTGTAAATGTTTAAATTTAAATTTAAAAAGCTGCCTGTGCTTCCATCTTATGGCCACTAGATGTCGCTCTTAAGCTACACTAGAACTCCCTCCCTCCATGTTTGTAGTGAAGAGTGCCCTCAGACTGTGTAAATGTTGGGAACCAACTTTCAACCAGGGTCTGTGTATGTATGTAGTGTTTCCTAAAAAAAACGAGGGCTGAACTTCAGTTTGGAAGTTTGTCTCATCTCAGTTCTCTTGAGATACTTGATGCATACAGACTGTTTATTCAGACTCATGTACCTTGTATTACACTTTACATCGGTGCTAAAATAAATAAAATCAGCTTCCGAGGTTTACTGTTCAAGATTATTGGAACATTTTATTGTTTTATGGACCTTTTCTTTCTTCCAGAAAACGTGTTCATCTGGTGTAAACAGTGATATAGAGACGTTTATAGTTTTGTTTCCAGTGATCTATTACTCATTATCTTCCACTTAGGCAATAAAAAGTGTTGTGCTGAAGAGAGATGTCTGTCATTCATTTATTTTCGTTCCACAAATGTACTGGTGAAAGGAAATTAGTTTTCAACCATGATATAAACAGAAAAGAGAATAATCTCTCAGAAAAGCCTAAAATGGCTTTAAATGATTGTCGTTATTATCCTGGTGGTAGATTTTACATTCACAGGTTCATTCTTTAGATTTCTGTGGTCACTGCAGTAAATAGAACGGTTTTCCGAGCATTAAAAAACTTTCCACTTTGCAACAGTTTAGTGATCAGAGGAATTCCTGGCCTATCTGTCATCACAAGTTGACATGAAATAGTGGTAAATATGCTTCTGATAAAATTCCTGCCTCCAGGTATGTGCCCGGCCTTGTCTGAAATGTGTACCTAGCGCGCTGATTTTATCAGCCATATTTACGAACAAATAACTCTTCTCTCCCTTCTGACTGTATGAGCAACGACCAGCGAGGTCATATCCATCAGTGTTTAAGAATTACTCATCTCGTTGTCAGTCTAGTAGCTGGAGATTTCCCAGAAGAGTGTTGCTTTTTCAATGCGCTGTTCTGAGCACAGTGTGGAAAACAACAGCTCCAGCTTAGTTTTTGTGTTTTGTGTGGTGCTACTGTCTTTGATATCCACAACATTCTTTTAGCGTAGCCTCTTTGTGTTATTTAGATCGTGTTACCAGAGTAAAGCATTTTTTGGGTCCCACTGGATGTCACACATGGCTGACCTTGTCTTCATTTAATAAAGGAGAACATCTTGGTTTTATGTTACACACGATACAATCCTGAAATCTGATGAGAAGCACTGACGAATTTCTCCTCAATAAAATTCTCAGTGTCTAAATAAAACTGGAATGTTTGTGGACACCTATTAACTAAATTGCAAGAGATTTCCAATACCTCAGAGCTGTTTCCTGGTCTCCTCAGGGCTACGAGAAGTGTCAGTCACACAAACCTTTTATCATTCTGACACACTGACTGGAGGGTCAAGACCTCATGATGGCCATTGAGCGTTCAGGGACCTTTACTGAGCCGGCTGCCAACAGCTGCTCCTACCTGACTTATGACAGTTTCACACAGTCAGCACAATGTTGCAGCTTGTATGTAAATTTAGTTGTGGCTGCAGTTTGGTGCTGCAGGGCTCCCAGAGTTGATATGAGTACTTTGTCTCCCATTTTTTGTATTATAAAAAACATGCAGGCTTTACATGCCAGCTACTCTGTGAGTAATGTTTACCTAGTTTATCATCTTAGTCTGTTAGTATGCTATAGTTGGTTAAAAAAACAAAGTTCAACTGCGACAGAAATAGGAATAGCAGTTATTTAATCCAAAGTGTTGGAGAAAATGGATTTTTTGACAGGATGTTGGTGCTAAATCAAAAGTTAGGGCATTTCCAACGTCAGTGTAATGTATCCATACAGACCTAGAAAATCTATTTAGCATTTTAAAACAGTTCAACTAATACTTGTCAAGATATTTAATTCAGAAATGAAAACGTCAACAAACGTCAGTGGGTGTCATCATCCAGGAAACATGAATGTCTACCAAACTTCATGGTAGTCCATGCAATAGTTGTTGGGATATTTGAACCAAAGTGACAGACATACTGACATTTCCATCCAGAGCCACTACGAATTTTCATTAAATGAGAGAGCTTTACAATGGAATCATGGTGACAGCTCTCCTTGTGCAGCAACTATAAAAACAACAACAACAGAAGAATAGTAGTACACTGATAAAAATAGATGAGCGAAGTACACTGCTAAAATAGACAGTAAGACAGGTGATAGAAGGAAGCTTAGGATATGTCGACTTCGTGAGGGACCAGTGGCTACAGTTATATTTTATAAATTCTTTTATATCTCTCCACTAGTTTAGGATGCTGGTTTTGTGCAACTGGCAACCTCAAAAGCTAAAAAATTAAGCCAGCGTGAAGTGCTGGAAACTGCAGTTCCTTGAAAGGCCTCTTGAGGCTTTCTCCAAAAGTGAGTCAATCCCCATAGACCCTATTATGAAAATCCTCAGCTTTACAGCAGAAATAAACATGTTTACAGTCTGATACAACAAACTTTTTTGCTCTCTAAAGCTTATTTCCACATCAATGACAACGGCGCAGGAGTGATTTTTTTTTTTTTGTAACTCACGTCTTTACACTGTCCTTGGCTCAGAGACGTTTGGATGGTCTGTCCCAGCTTCACTTGCACTCCACCTATTTGCTCTTTTTTAGATTACCCCGGGGCTAAGAGAAGCCAGACAGTACCTACATGGTGACAGCCACCACACTGAGCTTCAGAACTGTTCTTCAGGAAACCAGTGCATGATGTCATTGAGGGTTCATCCATCCGTATATCCAGTCTGTGGTTTCATGTCAACACACTCACTGACTCCTCTAAAACCTCCACTCATGCTTGGATGTTTTCTCAAGGCAAACAGTTGCTTTTCACACCAGCAATCTGACTGATCGTGTGAAACAGATGTTGAGCAGAAAAGGAAAAAACAGAACCTCTCTGAAGCAGGAAACAAACTGATTCCTTCTGTCATTTGTGCTTTCATTTTAGATCAGACGCATATTTGCAGAATACTATTGGTCCATGTTATATTGTTGAAATCTTTTTTGAAAGCACAAAAGATCAAAGTTAGTGTGTGGCTCAGAGCAGGCCTGGGCTTTTATAAACCACAGGTTCTTCTCTCCTCTTGGTCTCACATTGAGCATGGGGTGGAATTTTCCAAACGATGGTCAGACGGTAACACAATATTGTAATTTACAGTAACATTGTGGTACCGGACCACTGATTGCAGCTGAATATTTCCAAAAGTTCCCCCTTGTTTGAAGCTGACATAATGGTTCCATTCCTCTATACCACCCAAGACCATCTGTAAAATCTCATCGGTTCTTCAGGAAAAAAAAAACAAAAAACGCATCACATGGAATGACAAAATAATGCTTATAGCTGCACACTGTAGTATAGGAACAGGAATGATAAATGGCAGGACGTTCATTGGTCTGCTTGCAGCAATGGAAACTGTTATATAATCTGAATGCATTTAATGGATAATAACCACAAAAACGTCAGCAGGACAGAATATCAAATATTGATGCTGTCCATTTTAAACCATTTTAGACTCATTGGATTAACTAAAAAATCTTTACCACAAAACTCAAAACACAAAGCTGCTCTCATAGGTCAGGAATAGCTGAATTTGTGTTACAGAGTACTGTGAAAATGTTATCGTAAAATGATGTGGATTAACACAGCGAAGTCATGCAGTAAAACAAATGTTTATAGGTATTTTTCAGTAGTTTTATATCTTTCAACAACTGATTTAGATAAACAAAGAGAATACTTCATCCCTTAGCGAAGAACACTTTGGAAAATTCAAGTTCCAGGTTCCCAGTTCAGCACCATAGATTAAAAAGTTAAAAACTGAGTTTAAAGTTCCTCTCTGGATATTGGTGTAATCACTAGAAACGGATTTCCATGTTGCATATGTAGAGGCTTTCAGTTTTAAAATGCCATAGATGTACCCCTCATGCTATAATCAGCTTCTGCCACATAAAGCAGCTTGAGCACACCAGCTCTCCTATGACTCTACTCAAACACTGTAAAATGACTCTACACTACACAATGGCAAAATTGTATAATTGGAGTAATTCAGCCATACATGTTTGACCCAGGGCTGCACGGTCCAGGGTGTCCCCTGCCTTCACCCTGAGTCAGCTGGGATAGGCTCCAGCCCCCCACGACCCTAGTGAGGATTAAGCGGTGTATAGATAATGGATAGATGGATGGATGGATGGATGTTTGACCCATACATGTTTTAAAGAAAAATGATGATACAGAAAGTCCCACTCTGCAAGTCAGCAGGATTGGTTACTTAGGTTTGTTATGTGTGAAACCTCAGATGCCTGAATCTTTGTTTTTGAGACTGTCATCAATACACGGCAGTTGCAAGGCAGAAATGCTTAGTCATTGCTGCCTTTTTCACTCATGATGATATAAGTCACGATACAAACATGTTAAAAAGATTAAAAAAAACAAAAAAAACAACCAAAAACTTAATTTTCACTAGAGGGGTTCTTTAAGATACCCAATACTGTGTTAAAACTGAATTTCAACCTTCAAGTGAGATTGTACCAACACAGTAAATCAGTTTTCGAACATGGCAAGACAGACTTCATGCTGTCAGAGAAAGGGACGTGCTGTCCCAGCTGTCAGACGGTAGAGAACAGTAGCAAGAGACAAGAAGTCTGACCTCTTGTCACAATAAACATGTCAGAGGTTGTCTCTTGATAACAATTTGAAGCAGACACAAAGACAGCTCAGGCTCTCGGTGTGTGTGTGTGTGTGTGTGTGTGTGTGTGTGTCTCAACCCGTGGTGGTCAGCTGACCTGAACGCTGGTCAGAAATGAAGGATCTGTGTGAATTCTGTTATCTTGTCTGTTGTTCTGTGGTTTACCCAGTTAGACTAAAGTGAGGAATCTGAAGCCCACAGAAAAGATCCTGTGAGAGCTTTGATATTTTTTATCTTGTCAGTGGAGATGTGTGGGTGTAGCACAACTAATGATGTATCATGCAAGTATTTATATTGTTTATCTCTTCACTTCTGTTTATTTATTCATTATTATGCTTGCTTTCCTTCTGAAAATTTGGAACACACTATCTATGATGCTCTGGTGTGCTCTTTTGTTTTTTCTCTACTAAAAGCATTTATCCTAACAAATGACAGAGCCATAAATAATGAAAACAGTCATTAGATGCAGCTCAGCTCCGATGTATTTATCTCCTCCTAGTTACAATGGTTAGTGTGATCACTGACCATAAAATATTTAATTAGTGAGTGGTTTGTTTCTGCTGTTTACGGCTATCTGCTAAAATGAATTCAACTCGGATTCTTGGTGGCAACAAGAATGAAAGCAGTAAAGTGAGCACAGAAGGGAGTTTCAACATCATACAAAAGCCAACGCTGGATGAAATATTATTTTTCCTGATTTAGAGTGCTGAATTTAGCTTCGA